AACGTGTAAACAATGATCAAGCATGTGCTGTGAAATTATTGGTCGTACTTTTATACAGAATCGGACTTCACATCTTATCCCGTTTTCATTTTGGAACGCACCTTACAGTTCAAGTAAACTAGATGTCAAAGGCCGTTGACACTGAGATTCACAAAATAAATATATTTTAAAAAATAGCACAATTATTTTTAAAAACTTGAAATTGAAATTATACGTTTATTGGTTGGAATTTAGTGTAACTTTTGTGGAGATTGATTTATTTTAACATGTTAAACATTTAATTTTAAACTTGATATTTTTAATAATTGCCAACCTTCCTCATTTTAACCTTCAGTAATTTTTGTCATTTAATTTTTCGTAACATAAGCAAAAACTTTATTAACAAACCCAGTTAGGTTTTCCATAAAACTATTATAAATTTTAGTATATTCAAAATAGTAATTTAACATTTCTTATGACCAATTAACAACTTTAATAACTTTATTTAGATATATTTAAATCTATGTCAATCCTATTCTATAATTTAATAACCTATTTACAATTATTGCCATTCAACTATTAAAATTATATTGAGATGCAAATTATACACTGCACTAATTTTATTAGTCGGTAACTACACAATTTAAAGTTGTTGACATTTAATTCACGTGTTCCTCGGCACGTTTTACAACTACAATAAATTATTTATTTGTTATATGGAAGGTATAAAACGGTACTGTCCGTATAAATATTTTTTCACCTTGCCACACCCAAAATTCGCTCTAAGTAAAATAAATTTGCACTGGAATAGACAGTCATCGATCGGTAATGGGCATTATAGAAGGTACTACATTAAATTTACTGTTATATTCATTTGCACATAGGATCGGACGGTGAAAATTTAAAATTGTTGAATGTTAAATCTGGACATGATTTTTAAAATTTGTTAAATTAGTATTATCATAAGATTGAGTCATACATATGTCGAAAACCAAAGAGATATATTGTATAGTTGTTATGCAAAACACATGGTAAAATGTATTACATAGTGGTCATAAAACTTTAATTCTGAGGTTTTCTCGTAATAAGTTAAGTTCATTAGTAATTAGAAGTCGTCTTAAGCCGATAGTGAACAATTTAACACTAATTTTGTTCTTGAATCTGATTAACAAAAAATATCAATGCAGCGTTTAAAATCTAGACACTAAACACCTTATATGCCATTTTTGTACATAATAAATTCAGATGTGACTAGCTATTTATGTATATACAGGGTTGTAACTTTTTAATTGTCCAATACAGGTTATCTTTCCTATTTTAAGAGATACAGAGACGGTTAACTGAGCAAAAATGTGCAGAATTTTATGCTGAACACGGATTCGTTTTTAAATTTAGAAAATTTCGAATAGTTTCGAATATATTCGAAGAAAACCGATTTTATGCTATTTCTTTTTTAAGTCGTATTTCACTTGTTTTTTTAAATTTTAGGACAAAAATGTGTAGTCTGATATTAAATGATGTGAAGAATCGATTTTTGTTGTCAGTATTGACGTATCTCTAAAATTGTGCGCTGAATGGTTTTTAACTTTTGTTTTTGGTATTGAATTTTTGTATTAAAACAAACAGAACATTCTCTTTACAACGATGTATAATTTATGGGGTTTTGATAAATAAGTAACCAAGATATTGAATATAATTATAATATATATTGAATAAAAAAGTCAAGTAGCCATGTGAAACATTTGAATTTTTCTATAAATTAACCTAATACTTCTTAGAATCATATTTTTTTAATCACTGTATACACGGTGGTCATGCAAAAATTGCCCCCTCATTTTTTCAGTAGTAGTTGGAGATAATAAAAAATTTAAAAAATTCTAACCCATACCGAAAAAACAATTGAATTTTTATGTTCGAGAAATTGCTTTTTTTTTGTTAATGTAACACCCTCTAGATCTTTATACCATTGGAACACAAATTTAAAAAAAAAATTTTAAAATATTTATTTTCAGTCAGACTCGTATATAATAAAGGGTCTTCCATTAAGAGGTTCCATTTCAAGTTGCGTACCATTTCTTACATGTGACAAATGGGGCTGCCATATTTGGTAGCCGTTAATTATAAACAGGGCTGTCAGAACTGAGCCGCGGGACATAGGCGTACGTATTATTTATTAAAAAGCAACAAACTAAATTGTCTACAATGCACCACCATAAACAGCAACGGGTAGGAATTAATAACGCAACATCCAAACGATAACAAAGCAACAGTATACTAATATAACGTGAACGTGAAAAGCATTCTGAGGCAGCGGTTCACGCATGTCTCGGTTGACTGGCTTGGCACGCCATTGAATTGCGGCTCTCTCTGACAACTTTAGGTATAAACAACTCGATTAATAAAGATGGATCGATATTCCTTTGAGCAACGCTTAGAAGTAATAAAAGTTCGCAATGATGAACATGTAGGAGATAGTTCGAAAAGTCCGTACCAGGTTTGGTCGCAGAATACAGCAATTGTGAATTTAGTGGTAAAATTTTAACATACAGAGCAGAATACTGATGTTAAGAACCCAACTTGTATTCGATCAATCAGATCAAACGAAAGTATTTCTGTTGTGTCTGTAGGTGTCACGGAAAATCCTGCTCTGTCTATTGCAAGACGTTCAAGTAATGTGGCATTTCACAAACCAGCATGCACCTCATGTTGCACAAAGGTCTAGGCCTGCATCCTTACAAGGTCCAACTAACGCAAGATCTGAAGTCGAGGAACCAAGCACATCGTCTTCGTTCGCTGACGGGATGTTAGAAATGCAAGAGGTTGACGCTTTTTCAAAAAAATTATTTTTAGCAATGAAGCCGATTTCCAATTTCAAGGTACGTTAGTAAGCAAAATTGTAGCATCTCGGGCTCTGAAAGCCCAAGAGGAATTGTCAGACAACCTCTCCATCCACAACGAGTGTTTAGTGCGGTTTCTGAAGTCGCAGCGTTACAGAGACGTATTTCTTTCGAAAACAAAGCCCATGATGTTGACTGACTTTTTGGGCCTACGACTGAAGAACTGAATCTAGAAGATGTTTATTTCAACAGAATACCTATAAGCCGTGAAACGATAACCTTATTGCAAGAGCAGTTTCCTGGAAGTGTCATTTCGCGTCACGGACACTTCAATTGGCCGCCTAGATCACGTGATTTGACACTGCTAGATTTTTTGTATAGTAAGTAATTGTATCTGGAAATATTTACCTACATATAGAACAGTGTTTTTAACGCACGTCCCTGATAATTTTTATGTGAATTGTCAAATTTATATAGAATTTGACCTCCAGTGGTAAAACGACACGAATATTATTACTTAACCAGTGCATCAATGATGAATGTGGTGTAAGGTTTGATGACTGCACTTTTGGACAAAGCATCATAATATTATTTTCCCTAAACAAGGCCCACCGTAATTTCTTTAGAGGATCAAAATTCAAGAAATCGTATAAGTGATTTTTTTATATACAATCTGATTATTCTCTTAAATGAGTAGGTATATACGAAATTTTGTAGAAAAATGTAAAATTATAAATATTAGTACCTATTAAAAAATATATTATGCCTTAATTTTTACCTCGATTTTTACATAGAAATGAAATAAAACATGAAACACAAATAACAAACATTTTAAAAACATTACTAATATACTAATAGACTTGGGCTTCTTAGGTACCTACTTGGCTTTTTATAAATAAAACAACAACTATTTTTTCAGGGACATTTCCCTCTTTTTCAACATTTTACTTTTTCATATACAATTTAAACAAATTTTTTTCACGTTAATTCAAACCAAAAAATTTTCATATTGAAGATTAATTTTTTGTTTTCGCAAACAAAAAAAAATCTAGCAAAAAAGGTAATGATAATAATCAACAGCCAACATCTGTTACATTTAAATAATTAAGTAATTTTTATTCATTAAGGTCACATAAACTATCTTTAATATCAGGGTGTACACCTGTTTTGCATAGATATAAATATTTATTCCCAATAATAAAANACGTTAATTCAAATCAAAAACAATTCATATCGAAGTTTAATTTTTTGTTGATTTCGCAAACAAGAAAATCTCGTAAAAAAGTTAGTTAATGATAATCAACAGCCAAAATCTGTCACATTTACATAATTAAGTAATTTTTATTCATTAAGGTCACATAAACTATCTTTAATATCTGGGTGTACACTTGTTTTGCATAGATATAAATATTTATTCCCAATAATAAAAAAAAATACATTACAGCTAACACTGAGACCATTTCCTCTTTTCCTTTTTAAATACAGACTAGAAACATAAATGTTCATAATTAGTTCAACATCAAGATTTAAAATGGTTAGTTCAAAAGATATTTTTTTTAGCTACTGAGCTTATTATATAAAAATTCATAAGCTTAGAATTGACAAAAAATAAAGTTTTCGTTCCACTCTGAGTGCTTTCAAATTATAGTCCAAACTTTTAATTAAAATTCAGGAGGCCATGCAACATTTTGTACAAGAGTATAAGTGACAAGCAACAAGCGGTACATTGGAAATGTTTGATATGTTGCTAGAATTTCAAATACATTGAGTAAAGCTAAAGAATAACTTGTACCCATCCAATGGGCATTAAATATTAGATCAGACGATTAGAATTAAAAACATAAATAGGTACATTTATTTTCTACAGTCATCCGCTTTAGGATGAATAAGAACACTGAAACAAATGAACCATTCCGTCGTGTCTATAAATAAAAAGCTTAAGATAAATTGAACCTTAGACGATCTACTAATCCAGATTTGAACATTGCCACAGCCAATTATATTTAACCGTAACTTGGCGACAATAATAACAATAATTAATATTGTCTGCCTCGTAACTAGGTAACTATCTAAAACGAAGTATTCAATGAAATCTCAATAATAAAGTAATGCAATGAAAGTAAAAATATTTTCCCATTGCCACAGATGTCTATATAAATAGTTAACAGATCTAAGTTGCCTTACCTGCTAGCCTTTGTTTATAAATCAAATTTTTGGCACTCTTAACCCTACTTTCGAATTCAACCCACGGATCGTACACTGCACAAATCAGTGTCCTATAAATACTTATTTAAATAGGTTGTCATGTTGTACTTCGTCGCCGTTTTCTGGAGTTTTATGAATGAAAGTATCACTTATTTAAACAGATAAATGAAGTAGTCTTTGGCGATTACTGTCCCGTATCGAAATAACGATCGACTCACGAAATTTCACCTCAACAACAACCACAGTCCACAGACACAGACAAGTGTCACAAACAGACTGAAGAACAAAACACACTCGATAGGAGAACACAGAAATGGTGTAGATAGTGAGCTGTACACGGCCGACCTCTCGAGCACGGCCTACTGGGCAAAGCAGGTGCAAGAGGGGATTCCTACTGCACTCTATGCGCGACTGTTTATACAGGGTGTAACAATACAAAGTGTCAAAAATGAGGGGCGTTTTCCTAATCTAAATTTAAGGATGTTTTTACATCTTATCTTTTAAACATCTGCTCTTGTAGCCTGCGCCATTTTAAAAACAGCATGATGGTTTTTAATAAAAAAAATGTTATTTCTGTGAAAAATATTAAGTCTCAGATCAGATCTCAGTGACGTAGAAGTTATAATAGTAATATTTTCAAAAATTATTGCACGCCACTGAAAGAAAATATTTTTTAAATCCAATTTATTTAAAATGATTTCTTTATTTTTTTAATAGTTTTTTCCGTTTAGGTAGATATGCACAAATTAACAATTTGTAGGTAGTTGTGAAGTTTGGATATAAGAACAGTTTATTGGACAGTTTATTTAAATGTAATTAAAAATTTGTTTTACTTAAATGGCGCCCCTATGCACTTTTTGATACCAATATATTCTGTTTACATACCCTCTCACAGATTCCCATATTTTGAACAAGCTGCTGTAACACCTTGTTTAATGTAAATTTATTTGAACGTAATATCCTCATAAATTGTTAATTTGTATTAATTTTCCAGTGGCGTGCCATAATTTTTGTTGGAAAATTTTACTACTGGACCTGATTATTATAATCTTTCCGATCTTAACTGAAGACCAAAGAGCTAGACAGTATGTACCAGGTTTGGTCCAGGGTTGTTCTCATATTTATTTAGCCATACCCATACAGGGTAGGAAAGTACCGATGGTCTATCTGAAGTTGCGTGAGAGCGATAAAGTAAGTCATACAAATCCATGTGATAGACAAGGATGGGTATAGTGAAGGCGTCTAATAGTCACCGCCCATTTCGCCCTTCCACAAATAAGAAGTGGATCTTATTTGTGGAAGGGCGAAACGGGCGGTGACTAAGAGACGCCTTCATTATAGCCATCCTTCTCTATCGCATGGATTTCTATGGCTTATTTTATCGCTCTCACTTAACTTCAGATAGACCATCGGTACTTTCCTACCCTGTATACACGTCTGGTCGAACTAAACGTGAAGGTGGTAGAAATGTATACGCCCGGTTGCAGAATGTGCGCTCGGACAAATGGCGCACAAACACAGCCGCACTCGGCGACCGACCATAAAGTTCAGTTGTTGACAGATTACCTATCAGTGCAGAGTAGCAATGCGGAATTGAATTATTTTATTATTGATAATTTTTATTTAACAAGTTTTCTAACCTAAACTAACAACCTTACCTCATCCTTTCCTGGCAAGGATATGTTCATACCTTCCCGTTAGTTCTTGCCTAGCAGTAATATATTTTAATGAAAATGTAAATATTTTTTTGATATGTCATAACCAAAATTTACCATCAATATAATAAAATTGTTTGAAGACATAAATAATTAAAATAATTTTGTTGACAAAATGAACATATAATAGAAATTTTCTATACATTATACAGGGTGTCCAGAAATACCGTTCGATTAATTCTAGGGGTGATTCTACATGTTAAACTATGAAGAAAAGTTCATATGAACATACGTCCGCAAATGCGTCATAAGGTTGCTATGGCGATTCAAATATTGCTCGGGGATATAGGTTTTATTTTATATCTCTGGAACCGTTTCAGATAGCCATCTGAATTTTGGCATATGAATTGCCTTTAATAGTAGGTACTTTTCAGTGTTTTTACTAAATTATTATCTTAATCACTCAATATGTGAGCGTTAACCATTTGAGTAGGTAACCATGTTATGCAAACATATAGCTCGGAGCTAGCTGAAATAAGATGGGCGTTCCACAGGGCTCAGTTTTGGGCCCAGTCCTTTTTATATTATATACTAACAACATTGTTGAATTGTCTGGTGAGGCATATTTTGCTCTTTACGCGGACGATACATCTCTTGTAATTTCTGATAAATGTGAGAATAACCTTAAACGCAAATGTGAAGCCGTGATCTCGGACTTGATTGATTGGTTTAATAATATATGTTTATATTTTAATTCGGATAAAACTCAGATTCTTAGGTTCCACACCTCGCAGAAACCACTTGGTGATCTTGAACTTTGTGTTAACAATGATATTAAGTTTCATATTCATGATACTTGCTGTAAGTTTCTGGGTTTATATCTGGACTCGCATTTAAACTGGAAGAGACATTGTGAATTTTTAACATCAAAACTCGCATCTGTTTATTACCTTTTTATAACATTAGAAATGTAATTGGAACTGACCATTTGCTAAAACTGTATTATGCGCAAGTTGAAAGCCGAGTAAGGTATGGAATTACCTTTTGGGGTGACTCCACTCTCTCACGTGATGTTTTTGTGGCGCAAAAGAGGATATTGCGATGCATTGCCGATGTCTCTAGTACACATTCATGTCGGGAACTATTTGGTAGTTTTACTTTACTCTTACTTACTTACTCTTAACCCTTTTTGGCCTTTATGTCTTTGAGATATGTTTGTTTGTGTTTAATAATAAATCTAAGTTTTGAGCTAACTGTGACGTCCATAACATAAACACTAGAATAAAGAATGATTTGCGTATCCCTCATTCTAGAGTAAATATTACTTTTAAAGCTCCAAGCCGGATTGGTGCCAAAGTGTTCAACAATCTTCCGGAAAATATAAAAAATATTAAAAGTGTAAATGCTTTTAAATTCAATCTAAAATTGTATCTTGTTGAAAAGTGCTTATATAGTACCGCAGACTTTTATACCTAATTAAGCATTACTTGTAACGTTTATTTACTCTTTTTTATATTATGTTTTATATATTTTATGTTTTTTTATATATGACATGTGTTTAAATATTTGTTAAAATGTAATTTCTGTTTTTTGCAACTTGATATGAAGTTTCTTATACATTTTTTATGTCTCAAAGAAAAAAAAATAAAAAAATCAAAAAAAAATCAGAGGCGTACCGACAGGGGAGGCCCCGATTTAATTTGTTCACATGTTTATTAATCGTCATATTTTTGCATTTTTCTTTAGAAATTCTGATTCCGCTGTATAAATGACATAAAAAAGGTATTCTTGTAGAAAACCTGTCAGGTATTGTTAAATAGTGATAAAAAAGAAACGGTAAATGGAAAGCAGATTTATAATTAAAAAAACAGGGAACAATACAGAAACAAATAATACTAGTGACTTATTATTAAACCTGAATGTTACTTCTTTAGTTACAGCAAGTGTTGGAAGTGATGTCCATTCATTTCAATGCAACTGGCTAAACGATTTCTCATTGAACGTTTAACTCGTTGAAAAACACCTTGCATATTCCGTATTTCTTGGCAACAATGAATGACTCTTTGTTCCAGTTGTTGTACACTGTCAACAGGCACTGAATAAACTAAGTGTTTTAAATAACCCCATAGAAAATAGTCTAACGGATTAAGATCCGGCGAACGGGGAGGCCAAGCTACGGGTCCACCTCGTCCAATCCACCGATCTGGATAAGTCTGATTTAGATATTGTCGAACTAATAAACTGAAGTGGGCTGGAGCCCCATCGTGCATAAAAAATGTTTCTAATCTTAATCCATAAGGCAAATCTTCGAGCAAAACTGGTAAAGTGTTTTGTAGAAAATGTAAGTATGCGGGCCCATCTAAACGATGCGGCATAACATATGGTCCTAGTAACCTATTTCCTATAATACCTGCCCAAACATTAATGGAAAACTTATCTTGGAATCGAGCTTCGAAAATCGCGTGAGGATTTTCATCTGACCAAATATGATTGTTATGAAAATTTACCACTCCTTCACGCGTAAATCCTGCCTCGTCTGTAAACAAGACTTTATCGAGGAAATGACGGTCCTGATGGCATTTCATCTGCATCCACTGACAAAACTCCACTCTAGGCAAAAAATCCCGAGGTTTTAGCGCTTGAATTCTTTGCAAATGGTATGGATACAAAAGTTCCTCGTGTAAAATTTCCCATACAACACTTTTGGGAATATTCGTTTGTACTGAAATTCTTCTGGTGCTACTACCTGGATTAGCTTCAATCTGTTGTAGAACAATTTCCTCTGTCTGCGCCGTTCGGGTAGTACGGTTTCGTCCACAATCTCTCTTATTTGGCGTAAAATTACCAGTTTCTCTTAATCTCTGATGTAAACTGCTGAACAGTTTATCAGAAGGAAGCTGGCGATTTGGAAAAGTTTCTTGGTACAACCTCCGAGCTTCCAAAGCACAACCGTTTGCTTTGCCATACATGAAGTGCATGTCGGCCATTTCAGCAAAAGAGTATTCCGGCATTTTTTGAAAGACGAGAACAATGATTTTTTTCAATTACACTGTTATTAACACAATAATAATCGAATAAACTTTATTTTTAAACCTTATGTCAAATTCGTTTACCGTAACTACAGTAATTTGACCTTTTTCCATTTTCAACTTAGCACCGACATAAGCCTACTTTGATGTAGAAATTTTTATTATTGGGCGACCATGCATGCACTATTTTCTTTGGAGAGTATTTTCTCGAAAACGGCTAGCCTGACAGGTTTTCTACAAGAATACCTTTTTTATGTCATTTATACCGCGGAATCAGAATTTCTAAAGAAAACTGCAAAAATATGACGTTTAATAAAAATGTGAACAAATTAAATCGAGGCCTCCCCTGTCGGTACGCCCCTGATTAAAATAATAATTTAGTAAAAACACTGAAAAGTACCTACTATTAAAGGCAATTCATATGCCAAAATTCAGATGGCTATCTGAAACGGTTCCAGAGATATAAAATAAAACCTATATCCCGGTGCAATCTTTGAATCGCCATAGCAACCTTATGACGCATTTGCGGACCTATGTTCATATGAACTTTTCTTCATAGTTTAACATGTAGAATCACCCCTAGAATTATTCGAACGGTATTTCCGGACAC